ACCGGGACTAAAGCTCCCCCTTCTGTCCCGGTTCGTGCCACGAACCGGGACCAACGCCTCTTGCTCTTCTATGTTTTTCCACGGTTCCAACATTTCGTTCAGATCGAACATGGTCTTTATGCTCAAAGAATATCTCTACATCGTCAGAGGAGCAAATCCCACAATCGAGCTATCTAGTCTCTTGTTGAACTTTCCGATGACCCCGTAAGTTGTCGTTATGATCATCGTATTACTGATGACGTTTGAGCAATTCCAAAGTCCAATGTACGGTAGGAAATGACTACGATACACGATACTCTCATGGTCCGAGAAACTAAAACACATACTAACACTCCATGTTATAACAATTGATTTCAGACGATATTATTTCAAAAGTATAACGGACAAGATTTGGTAAATTTAATATGATCGTCATTCTAACGTCATACTCTCAATGTTGTTTTAGGACTATCGTTACACTTAACGATATTGTAAGATCCGAAAAACATGATCACCACAACACTTAAGCCAGTCTTAAGGCAAGACCGGAACCTATATTATACCGTTTATCATTTCACACGTGCATATGAGGTTTTCACCGAATCGCATATTTCAAAATCATAATAGTTATAGCTTCAAATATAAAATCTTAATTATGATAATAAAAATATAATAATACAATGTTATTGTTTCTAGGACATATTTCCAACAATGTGGGAGGTGCCGAGTGAAAGCTCCATGCCTTGGCGTCGACGGTGTTGATGCATGTGGGTATCGTGTCCCTCTTGGGGGCATCTCCTTAGCCTCCCTCACTACTCCTTTTACCAGCAACTAGTTGAATGCCCGTGCGTTGCTACGGAGACACAACTATCTATCTGTTAACACCAAGGATATCAAGCCAATACCAAATCATCACCTTAATCTTGAATACCAGACACCGTGTCATGCATACATATTTCCCATGGATATCAAACCAATATGAAATCATCGCCTTAGTTTTGAATAGCAGACACCATGTCATGCATACATATTCTTACATATAAGCCTTTTTAGAGATTCCAATATTGACTACATACGTAGCAAAATGAGTGAATCTATATTCTAAAATATGTCTATATACATCCGTATGTAGTTCGTATTGAAATCTCTAAAAGGGCTTATATTTAGAAACAGAGGGAGCATTTTCGAAGGATATCAAGCCAATATCAAATCATCACCCTAGTTTTGAATACCACACAGGGTGTTATGCATACATATTCCAGCTCGACTCGAATAATTACCCATATAAAACAGACACGAAATCTCTTCTCGAGAATAAGGATGTGCCCTGATAGAAGATAAATGGTTTTTATAGATAAACAATAATGGTTATGTCAGCATAAAGCAGATCCATACATGGAGTTATAAGAGAGAAAAATGATACATGTAGTAGCTACTTGTGAGCGAAGAGAAATTTGACTATTTTTTTGTTCAGCTTTGTATTTTGGTATTGTACTCCTTGACTACATAGGTTTGCCCTTGCTCCTTGGGATTCCGGCCATACCTTATCCTTTTGTGAACTAAAAAATAAAAATTATCAGAGATCATCCATACGACTAACAACTATTACAAAAACCAGGCACTACATACATAGAACTAAATTATTCTCAAACAATGCCGAGCCATTAATTGCATGAGAGATTTTATATCCCTCCAAATATTCCGTCCAACCTGCAATTTCCATTGACCATAGAGAAAATAGATGCAAAGAGCCAGCCTTTTTTCCTCCTCCATCCAGCACTGAGATGACAAAGTAAACACTATAAACTACAGGAAGGATCAGCCACTTTGATCCAAAATTCTGACTATCCATGTTAAAGAAATGGATTTATGAGCTTATTTGACAGAATATAGGTTAGGTGAATACAGCTATTGCCAAGAGTAAATCTTCCGGAATTAGATGTCGAAAATATGAACACCTTCCTGTCAATGAGGAGGAACCTAAACAAGCCTGCAGTTGTGTTCTTTTTAGGGCATCATCATATATATAACAGAACCTAAATCAAGTCAGATGTGTTCTTTTTAGGGCATCTACTTGCTAAATCAAGTTGTAGGATATATATAAGAGGAAGGGCCAGAATGATTTTGAATGCCTACAACTCACGTCTATAGAAAGACATTCCAAAGTGAAGCGTGGATCCAGCTCGTAAATATATATATATATATATATATATATATATATATATATATATATATTACAAAGAAGAATGGATGGAAGACGAAATTGTGTATTATACTAATTTCATTAGTACTTTATACCAGAACACGGCAAAACAAAAAATTACTGCAGATTTCAGTGGCATAAAAAATCTTCTAGTTTACTGCTTTCCTCGGAATTTTGCAGTGGTACACATTTCTGATCAAACTATCCATCACCTGGGTCTCCAAATAAAAAACTACTCCATCCGTCCCAAATTAAGTGTCTCAACTTTGTACTAATTTTAGTAGTAAGTTGTACTAAAGTTGAGACACTTACTTTGGGACGTGGAGAGTACCGTTTACTGCTGGTCTACAACCATACCACTTGTTAGAGTTAAAAACATGAACAAACAATGCAATTCTTATTCAAGCAAAACAGACAATAAAAGTTAGCACAATATGTATATCTCCATTCATGATGAAACAAATCAAAGAGAGGCAATATTGACCTTCCATTTGATGTATTAGATGGAGTGAAGCATGTCGATGTCGCAATAGCGTCGACTTAATTAGGCATATATCTACACATTCAGATGTTGGCAGAGAAGTTTTTAACCTCACTGAGTCGTTGTTAGCATTGAGTAGGGCAGCCAGAACGCAATATATAGAAAACTGCATCGAGTTAGTCATGAGAAAGAACTACAGGTTTAAGTGTTTTTCATCACATTCGCCTGAAAGGTAGCTAAAAGTTTCAAGTATATAGAACCATTGACTCATGTTTTAGATGTCTATAACGTTAAGCATGCAACCAAAAGTATATAGCAGCCTTTTGGAACTGTACTATAACATTCACGAATCAAGATTTAGTGGCTGAAGAGTGGGGCAGAAAAATGTTTAATACCTAGTTCTTGACAGCCTTGGCCATCTAGCAGAACTCCTTGTGCATGACAGTATTCTAGTGGAACGCGACAGACTTGTCCTTCTTCCGTGTCTTGGTTGTCAAGAGACGAAAGAAGGACAAGCGTGGAGCGTGGATTCGATTGGACCATGGCTCCACTCAATGCCATCTCCTTATCAGTAGTTAGCTATATGCCGTCAGTCTTCTTGTTTACCAGGACTAAAAAACACACCAACCACCAAACAGATCTGCCAATGGCGAGACATCCATAATTCAACTGATCAATAGATAGCAACAACTACTAACCAGAGTGCTTGTCAGAGTGAACAATGTAAAACTTGTTAGGCTTCCTGACTGAACAGAACCTTGGCAGTACTCATGCTGAACTGCTACATTAGGAAACAAATGTTCCTCTTGACAAGCTCCCAGGCCAGATTGTCCGGAACCGTCACCATTTATCTGTTCCTAAAAGATCATATCAACCAATGAATATGAAACCCATCAGAAAAAAGTGTAAGGATTCTCAAGTTTCTATCTCACATAGCCAATAGCTTCTGCATAGTGGTAACGACTGGTGTTCCTGCTCGTGGCTGCCCTGAAGTGCGCGTTGAAGGCAGACGGTTCTGCTGACGCTCTTTGTTATGAGATAGCCGCAAGAGGCTGCAGACCGTCATGGGCGACATCAGGGTGAGATGCATCAACGGCTGGAAGCAGGCAAGGAAGTGGATGGGCCATACCTCTTTGGAAGGAAGCACCGCAGTCCTAGCAGCAGCAGCGCGACCCCACCACGGCACCACGCGCAGCCAGGAACCATGGCCTTCTCTTTCCCTGTGGGCATTAGGCCAGCACCGCCCGCTGCGCTCTTCCGCCGCTTGCTAGATTTCCACCGGCGATTACATGTGTCCACCTGCTCCTCCCACGATCCCACCGCCTCCCACCCTCCGTTGCCACAAACCGATCTTCCGCCGGCCGTTTCACTGCCGCTCAGACGGCCCCTGCCATGGGAGAGAAAACGTAGGGGTCAGACAGTACAGGCTACGGGGATAAGATGGGTCGGAGGGAGGGTGAGATAGCGTAACCTGGGCCTCATTCATCGCGGCCATGGGCGCGGCGCTCTTGCTCGTCTCCCTCCCCACGTCAAGCTCCTCCTCAAGTCGGTGAAGAACAGATGAGATTGGAAGGGCTTGGATCCACCGTTCCAGTCTAATTCGGCTGCAGTGTGGAACCGCTTGAGGTCGCCATAAGCGTGAGGAGGTCGGCGGCGGTGATTCCTCTAGGGAGAGCAACGGGATTGAGAGGGAGGGATTTGGGGGAAGGGGAGTGGGAGGTGGGACGTGCGCTGCGCTGTTTTATTTGCTTTTTCTTTTCTTCCTTCGTGTGACGGGTGGAGAGGAGCGAGGAGGTCCGGTTTTTTCGCATGTTGGGAGAAGTTTACATGCGAGGGGAGGCCTGGTTGAACCATCACGACGACGGCAGATTGCCCTTTAACAGTTGAGATCAGGGTGAAAAATCCTCGTCCGTCTCAGGTGGACATGGCGCGGAGCACCTTTCGAATTTCCGAACACTTTTTGGATTCATAAACATTATCTTCAATTCACGCCCGTTAGCTCTCACGCGTGGGGTTCGATCGGGTGCGCCTTTGCCCTAACCATGGAACAGGAACCTCTCCCGCATTATTCCTTTCGCATCGCTCTGCATGGCGGCGCGCCGAACCTAACCGCGCAACCGCTTGCTCCGCCTGCCACCCTTGCCTCGCGCCAGCCCCAGCATCGCTCTCCATGGGTGCACTCGGATTTCAGCTCCTGGCCGAGCCGACGGCGACTCGTTGAGCTCTACTCTTTCTATACGGAGACGGAAGGCCCTGTGCGGCGCAGCCTACATATATATAAATACACACACCCCACAACCGTGGCAGGTAGGTAGAATCGAATCGAGCGTTGGAACAATGTCGTCGTGGTCAGGCCTCGCCTTCGTTGTAGCCTCCGCCGTCACAGGCAGTGCGGTGACCCTGGCAGCGTCGGCGTTCTACGATCTCTACTTCCAGCGCTCGTACGCCTTCGACATCATGCCCCCGGATCTGTCCCCTGGCAGCCGGTACATCTACACCCGCGCCCAGAACAACGACAAGGCGGAGCGGGCCATCACCACCTGCAGCGTCCTCAGCGCCTTGGACGCCGGCAGGGCTGATCCGGTCGTCGGCCGCGAGGACGAGATCGACCGCGTCGTCTGCATCCTCTGCCGCCGTACCAAGAACTGCGCCGCGCTCGTCGGGGCAGCCGGGGTCGGCAAGACGGCCATCGTCGAAGGCCTCGCGCAGCGCATCGCCGCCGGGAACGTCCCCGACGCCCTTGCTGGAGCGCGCATCCTGGAGCTCGACATGGGAGCGGTGGTTGCCGGGACATGCTGGCGTGGCATGTTCGAGGAGCGCTTGAAAGACGCCATCAAGCACGTGGAGGAGGCAGGAGGCAAGGTGATCCTCTTCATTGATGAGTTGCACATGATTGTTGGCGCCGGCGATAAAGGAGGCCCCATGGACGCCGCCAATATCCTCAAGCCAGCATTAGCCCGCGGCCGCATCCGTTGTGTGGGTGCTACCACTTGCGAAGAGTACCACAGGTATATCCAGACTGACGCTGCACTTGAGCGCCGGTTCCAGAAGGTTGTCGTCGAGGAGCCAAGCGTGCAGGGCACCATCACCATCCTAAAAGGGCTGAAACAGCGGTACCAAGAGCACCATGGCTTGAAAATCCAGGACGATGCTCTCGTTGCTGCAGCACAGCTCGCCGCCCGTTATATTACTGGTTCGTAACTCAAGTCTTCAAAAAGATAAAAATATATTTTCAATTTACTACTCTGTTAGTTGCAACTTGTTAATCAGTGCATGTATGTTGAAGGCGATTGATTGATTTTGTGTGTTCTCAGGTCGCCAGTTTCCTGACAAGGCGATTGATTTGATTGACGAGGCATGCTCTACTGCAAAGGTGCATTTTGACAAGCAGAAAGTGGAGAATAATATAATTAGCTCTGTATTTGCACCGAAGGAGTTAACTGTTGGCCCAGATCATGTCGCACAGGTAAATCATAATCATATGTGTGAATAGGTTTTGTTATTACCACTAGTATGTACCTCTCATATTTCAAATGTTATTTGAAGGTTGTCAGTCGATGCACTAGAATCCCTCTCACGACACTTGGTCAAGACGAGAAGGAGAAGTTAGTCCACCTAGCGGAAAAATTGCATGAGCGAGTCATCGGTCAGGATGAAGCGGTCAATTTGGTTGCGCAAGCGGTGCTACGTTCTAGGGTTGGTTTTGGTCAATCTAGCCGACCGATAGGTTCATTCCTCTTTTTGGGGCCGCTTGGTGTTGGAAAAACAGAACTCGCAAAAGCTCTCGCCGAGAGGATATTTGACAATGAGAAGACGTTGATCCGCTTTGATATGTCGGAATATGCTGAGAGTGGGTCTCTGTCGCGCCTCATTGGGGGACCTCGAAGGTTTGATTCTCCCACTTCCTGCACATGTTTTATTCCTTCTTGACACACTCTATTTCCATATCTCACTAATTCATTTGGCATTCTAAAGCTATGAAGAAGATGGACAACTTACCGAGAAAGTCAAGAGGTCTCCATACAGTGTTGTCCTTTTCGATCAGGTGGATAAGGCAGACCCCTCAATATTCAAGGTTTTTATCCAACTCCTTGATGATGGTACGCTGACCGATGGCAAAGGACACGTCGTAGATTTTAAAAACACTATCATCATTATGACCTCAACTCTAGGAGCAGAGCACCTAACAACAAGAATGGGCATAGAAAACACAGTCAAAGCTGGTCGGGGTCTTCTTATGGGGCAGGTCTGTAAATCTCAGAGTTCCCTTTTTAAAACTCTTAATGGATACCCGCTAATTGTCATATGCACTTGTTCTTGCAGGTTCTGAAACGCTTGAAGCCTGAACTTATTGACAGACTGAGTGAGGTTGTGATATTTGAGCCGCTTTCACACGACGAACTGAAGGAAATATTGAAAATCCAGATGAAGGATGTCATTGCCACAGTAGCTAACAAGGGCGTCTCTCTATTTATAACTGATGCCGCGCAGGATGTCATTTTGTCGGAATCATACCACCTGGTAAGTGGCGCAAGGCCCATGAGGAGATGGGTGGAGAAGAATGTGACGACAGTTCTTTCAAACATGCTGGTCAATGGAGAAGCTTGTGAAGGCTCGACCATCTCCATCGATGCTGCAGATGTTAACAGGGGTCTGAGGTACCATGTACTGAAGAAGCAGGGGAGCACAGACCCATAAAGCCAGCGACGAGTTCTGCCGTGGTCACTCCATAGCAGCATCTGACAAAAACAGTGGATGTATATAGGTTGTTTCTGATTTATGATGGGTATTTAGCTTTGTGTAACAAGCTGTATGCACACATACAAATATATCCAGGTTGATCAAGGTTATTTAGCTATACAATTGCAGTAAGTGTGAGTTTTGCCATGGCCAGTCCATGCTCTGTGTGTAGTACACACATAAACAAATATATCCAGGTTGATCAAAGCTACTCAGTACATTGTCACATTTAGTTAGTTGCATTTACTATATTTCTTACTTGCTTTTTTAAACTGTCCGCCTTTCGGGGGTTGTCATAAGCAGGGCCAAGAGGATTTTTTTCTAGGACTATTGTATCGGCTATTTATGATGCGCACAATGAAGTGTTCCTGCACTGGCACTATTTTAGGACCGCAAATACTAATAGTGTAACAGATGATACATTTTTTTTTGTCTGTGTGATCTATGGTACCTGCCTGCTGATTGTAATTTCCTACATCAACAGGAGTGAAGCAAGCACTGATATTATTGTCGGATAAAACGGACTTGGCTAATCTTGGAAATGGTCTGCAGAGCTTGGCATGCCTCTTTCGTGCTGTGGGATGTCCTCCATCTCCAAAGAATTGTATAACTGACAATTGCCTTGTTGTTTTAAGTTAATGCTGGATTGTGTCAGTCTTGTTGTGTCTCCCCATGCATCACCATGGAGAATTATGTTGTACATCAATGCCTACTTCAGGCAGTGCTGATTTATCATATATATTGTCTTCCCGAAAGCTATGCATTGTTCACAGTAGCTTACTTTTTAGCTAGTTAATAGTTGCATGTTTTTTATAGGTTGATTGTTTGTGTGAGATTAGTGTTAGTATTTATGAAGCCTGATCTTGTACAGGAAGAAGCATTCTCCAGCTTAGATTTACCAACTTTTATGTCTTATGAAGATTTTTTGCGCCTGTAGGTTTTCTATCATCTCCACTGTCGGTACAACGTCAAGCCTGGAAGCAGCTGGAGTGAATGTTACAAAAGTTGGAACAACATTTTCCTGAAATGGTATGCTTAATTTAATGTTTAGCTGGTGAAGCATTTCTTAAAATGGTTTTATTCTAAGGGCGACGCTACGCGTCCACCGGCGTAAATTGAAAAAGATCCGCTGCCTCGCTGACCATTGGATAGAGACATAATGACCGTCCGATCTACCAATGTAAGCAACCATCTTTTGCAACAAGAGTGGTGTTTCCGCAACAGTCTGCTTGTTGCGATCACCCGAGCGTGTTTATTTTTTTGCAACAAAGATCTTGTTGCAGAAATTTTAAAGATCAACCGTGCCTATATTTTTTTAATTTTCTGAAACAAAGATCTTGCTTAAGATTTTTTTTCACAGCAAAAGTCTAGTTGCAGAATTTTAAAGATCACGCGACATGAGCATGTACTTTTTTAATTTTTTGCAAGAGAGGTCTTGTTTGATTATTTTTTTTGTAACAAAGATCTTGTTGCAAAAATTTTAATGATCAATTGGTGTGCTACGCGTCGGTTGACGGATAAAAAGGTCCGCGCGAGCCGTCAAATCTGGTGTAATCCTGAGTCAAGGGTCGTTCTTCACTTTTCCCACTTTTGCAACTAAGGTTTTGTTGCGGAACTTTATCAACAGGCGTCATGTTGCAGAAAACATTTGTAACAAAGGTTGTGTTGTAGATTTTTTTTTTTTTGCAACAAGAATAATGTTGCAGAGTTTTTTTTTTGCAACAAAGATTATGTTGCGGAATTTTTTTGTCTACATTGTGGTTGGCTCTCGAGGTCGTGTTACCACTGCAACATTCCCCATGTTTCAGAAACATGGAGGATGTTGCAGAATCTTAATGCATACTGTGGGTGGGACTAATCCACACGTAGTTGGTTTCCGAGGGCAGCGGACGCGAGGCGTAGAATCTGTTAGTACACGTGGTCTGTCGGATCAAAAGTGATCCAACGGCTCCACGCACGGCGGACGCGAGAGCGCGATCCATCGGCAGAAAGGTAACGTTTCCCTTATTATAAGCATTATTTATCATAGTCAATAAAGTATCAAACTTGTTGAGGATGATAGGGCCGAGTCAAAGAGGAGAAAGACCCTTCGTGTGGACCGCAGTGACTACTCAGGCCAACTGAGATTGTGAAGCCGAAGATGACATTTGAGGAGAAAGAATCCTTCGGAAACTGCTTAGCTTCTTTGTCCGAGGATCGAGAATTACCTGGTCACATCATTGATTTGTTACAGCAGTGTATTGACAGCAATACAGATTGCAGAGACAAAAAAATAGCTCAAGTGATCCAGCCATAGTCCGATGTCCATCTATTATTATGTCACATACTTGTACTTTTCGAAGCATCTACAATTCAAACTCAGAAAACCATTTTTCCTTCATCACATAATGGTTGTCACTGTAAATTTTAGCTGGAATTGTAAATGTCATGCCATATAAAAGAAAAAACAAAGAATGTCTAATACCCATCAGTTGTTAAGATTTCCATTGACCAAAACAAGAAAAAAATCATATATGTTACTGCCATCAATGGTTATTTCTATTATGAATAGCAGAGGCAGACAGCCTACGTAGTCAACAAATTTAATAGTTTCGTTTTACACAAATAGCTGATGAAAGGTTTGTTGTCAACAAATAGAACTTCAGTAGGTAGCTGCGCTGTACAGAGGATTTATAAAAGCAGGAATAACCAACCAAAGTAGAGAATCACATATTCAGCAGATAAATATGTCGAAGGGCCAATGGCCGATCTTTATTAGATAGGGGAGAAAAGGCAGAATACAAGTAAGTTTGCCATCAAGAACAATTGACGCCAACGGAAGGAGGGCAGTCGTACTGCACCGCCATTCCACTAAAAGAAAGGAAAATACACCACAGCGTGCTAATGACCCAAGTCTGTAATGCAACCCGCAGATCGCCACACTGCTATGTCTTCACGCACTACGTCCAGTACTCTTTCTGCACTGCTTGCCAGCTGATCAAACACTCCGTATAGACATATTTATCTGCTGAATATTCAGCAGATAAATATGTCTATACAAAACAAATGGATATGGTTTTTGATAGTTCTTGACACACCGGATAAACTGCAAACTTATTTATGTGCTTTATTACCTTTTGAGCTTCTATCAAGAGAATTCTTCGAGTCCTTTGCTTAGAGCAGCACCATCATCTTGTGCCATATACTCTGAACATTACCATATCATGTCTAAAACAATGCAATTGGAAACATAGGTATGTAATTTCGTTGACCAACTTTAACGTCAATAGCACAACGTTTTGTATTAATCTCCACAAACTGTCAGGCTTTCTTGGGAGGAAAGCATACATTGTTTAGCTCAATCAGAAGAAACAAATGATTAGTGCGGAAGCACATAACTGGTGAGCAAAAAAACCTTGAATAGCTGCAACAGTCCAGCAAACAGTGGTCAAGCCTGGAAATGCAATTCGGCTCTCGTGTGTATTTGCTCCTAAAATCTGGACCACACAAGTTCTCCTCGTGATGCAAGACAGGTGCTGTATACTGAGCGTATTCGGTAGCATCGACTGATTTATGGAACACTGCAAAGCTGCACCACTGCTGACATTTAATGCACCCACATGCGTCTCATAGCCGTTGGTCCAGACGGAGAGACGCCCTCATGTGCCATGTCGCCGTTACCTGCGCCGTCTTGCGGCCGTCCTGACCACTATTGAGTACAGCCAGGTAGCTACCAAAATTGCCGCACACATCCGGACTCAATCCATATTCTGCGAAATCTACACCAACTGAAGGTACCCATCTTTTCAATTCTAAAATTAGACTCATTTTTTCAGAACAGCTGCGCAGCAAGCATGACGCACCTAAAAATTATTGTGTTTCTGTATTTTCAGACATGCATGTTTATTATTCAGAGATTTCATGAATTTTCAACTGAACTATACCACCACTCCCTTCAAGCTATCGGCATCTACACTGATCTTCCACTATGTCAGCTTCGACCACAACCATTCACTATTATTCACTCATTCAGGCATAATCAACAACCTCCACATTTAGAGTATTTACAGCCTATCAGATATAGATTACTGATACCTCTCGTCCACCCAAGTGCCCGCGGATCCATCTTTCCCGTTGATTGTGCTGATGCTGCATCTTCGCTCTCGCGGCGCTCGTGAATCACAGCTAGCTGGTCGCTGTCCACCACGTCTCCAACTCCAGTGGCAGAGGCGACGTATCCATTGTCGGCTTCACTCTCACTTACCGTAGGGCTGCCGCAGATTTCTGCCGCCACACTGGCCGCCCTCCTACCTGTGAACCAGATGCTGGTCTGCATGGGATGTTCACCCCTGCATCTAGCATAGCAGGCTGCGGCAGCACACTCCCCCGCTATTGTTTGCTCCAGTGCACCGATCCTCCCCGTCCTGTACGGTGGATGCTTACCCATCTCTAACCCTGCATAAAGGAATCATCTTATACCCCAAGAAAACCTGATGCACCAACAAACAGCAAAGGCATGTCCACGAACAAAACAAATCAACACTGATACTCAAATTTACACCCACTACTCATAATAACGATTTTTCATCTTAGTTCATCATTTTTTGTACCATACTACCCATTAAAAAATACTATGGTTTTAAATAGCGCGCTATAGCTCCGCTATAGCACGCTATAGCGTTTACAAGAGGTCCTACGCTAAGCATATTTTGGTCCAAACACATGAACAAACATTTTAAATAGCACGCTATAGCATTTAGAAAAAGTCCGCCGCTAAGAGGCTTAGCACGCTATTTAAAACTTTGAAAAATACTAATGCCTGCCAACTGCTGGCACACAAAAGAGTGCAACACTCCTCCATGTTAGTGATGTCTTTTGACTTTTTGTATTTAGTCTCTTGGCATTCTTCTGTAGCCTTTTGGCATCCTCTTGTATGTGTATATATGGTTGGCTTTGACCTCCTAAATAATACAAGTTGC